TATATATATATATATATATATATATATATATATATACATACATATACATACATACATATATATACATACATATACATACATACATATATACACACACACTATGTCTAGGATGTGTGTTTATCAGTTCTAACCTGTCAGAAAATAATGCAAAAAGTTATGGTGAGCTGTGGTGTTTATTTTTGTAACATCTTTGGAGATGTCGTGTCTTTATTCCCACAGAGTGTTTTCAGTACTCTGATGCATGTTCTGTGAATGAAGGTAGAGTTTTTGCGCCTGTTGAGCCACTGTAGTAGGTCATGCTAACCAAGTTCTTCTACAGTACTTATTTCTAAAAATTGCTGCTGCAGGACATTCCATGTGCCAAAAAACTGGGTATTTTAAATATCTATGTTTCATTTCCATTGTGTTCACCAGCCAGTGTGAGAGTGTTGTAACTTTATTTGTAAATGCAACAGATTATTACTTTAAAACTATCATGCAAGATTCCCTCACCCACCTATCCCCATTCAGAAAAAGCAGCAAGTTATTAGTTATGTTCATGTTTTTTCAATCTGGAGGACTTTTGTAAAGAATATATGATAAATGCAGAATCTTCAAACTTCTGTTGAGGTGGGTGAAAATGTATTTGTGTGGCCCACTCAGTTAAATACTGTACAAGACATTAACAGTACATTACACAGGAAGTTACCGGTAGCACTTCAGACTCTCACCTGCTCCAGTAGAGACCTGGCCTCCTCTGAAACAGACTCGGGGGTGTTGAGAGCAGTGTGGCGACCGACTCCTGCTGGATGGCACCGCAGCAGAGACTGTGCAGTGGGAAGGAGGGGTGGAAAGAATAGATAACGATCAATCAAAACAAAGAAAACCTGACAGACCCGAGAGCTAAAGGGACATTTACACCGACACCCGCAGAGCCGAGGGTCTACGTGAGAGCACCAGAGCTGGACAAATAGGAGGAGACCAAAGAGCCAGAGCAACTGAAACAACACTGATCACAGCAACTACAACAAGGCAGTGACTGAACTACTGTTGCTCTTTCTTAGAACTGACGTGTGTCACAGAAAGGATGACATGGAAAGAAAACGTCTTTTTTTTTTTGGTTAGTTTGTTCTTGAATTATGCAGCGCTATTGTACTGGAAGAACCAACAGTTAAGCAGGCAGCAGTAGATATGAAGCATTTTTATTTGTTTTTAGAGTAAAATATGAAGAGGTCAAACAGGCAATTACAAGGAATTGTTGCACTCTGGGGGGAAAAAAATTTGAAATAATCTCAGTAGAGAGAGAGAGAGAGAGAAAGGGAGCACAAGACCTACAAATGCTTTTGCAACCACAGAATGTAGCCACATTGTTAAAATAATTGACAATAATGACCATAATCACTGTACGTTGCAGCAGGACATCTTTCAGCGTATCTACACCTCAAAATTCAGGGTTCAACTTTAATGTATTTTTGTTCACTTGCCTGGTCGGGCAAGTGGATCAGAAATCTAATTGCCCGCAGTCAATTTTGACTTGCCCCTGTATAAATTGTTTTATTTATCTAGTTAGCGAATAACAACAAAGACTAAAGTGAATCGTCTCGTTCTATCTACCTTGTTCTCAAACTTGGGGAAAACATAGTTGGAGTTTCGCCCACATGCTCTTTCACAACTTAACTCCCGTTTCCAGGAGAATTGAAAGCTAAAAGACTTTGTCTTTACTCGCCGCCACGAGTGCCCGATCAATACTGCGCATGTGCAACTCTCCACAGAGATGAGAAGGAAGCGAGATGGATCACTCCTTAGCTACTTCCATCATCCATTACGGGGAAAAAAAATGTGTTTAGCTATTTTTTTTTTACCACTAGCGCCGATCGATCAAGTGTGTTTGCTAGATTTACTCGCCCCAGACTTGGCCTTGTACTTGCTCCAGGCAAGCAGGCAGTCCTTATTGTTGAGCCCTGAAATTGAAAATGCTAGAACAGAGCGTGTGCAGCAAGACGTAAGCCCGTGAACTGTTTGTGTTGGGGGACCCTGTGTGCTTTTTTTCCATCAGTTAGGTCGGTTGCCCCTCTCTCTCTCTCTCCTGGTACGTACTGCAGGAGTTCTGGCTGGGTTCCTAGCCACAGTGAAGACTGCTGCAGGCAAGATCTTATCCTGCAAGGATCAAGAGACACTATGTGTGCCTGTGTGTGTGTATCCTTGCCAGGGCTGTACCCAGACATAATCATCAAAGGAGACATCTGTGTGACTGACTTGTTATTTTTCCAGGTAGGTGGGTGTGTATTGTTTAACATCGAAACACTAACCTAACTAACAACCAGACTCATGTTTGGGGCCATTGATGGAAACCACTGATAGCTGATATGAAAATATGACCACTGGCAATCAGTTAGAGTTTATTCAAATTGAATAGACAATGGACAATTGAAGGGACGGGTCTGCACATGCACAGGCCTCTCTGCGCGTGCAACTGTATGTGCGTTTGTCATTCAAGAGAGCAGCAAGGTATAATTAGCATGTGCATGTGAATATGGATCATTTGTCTCGCAAACAAAAAGGCTCCGAGATGCTCCCCTTCAAAGATTGTCCCTCAGACAGCCCGGCCCGAGCAGCAGCACCTCGAGAGCCGCCCTGGTCTTCAACCTTCCACACCGACCTCGGATCGGCGCGCTCCAAGCCCAGCGCTGCTCCAGGAGCCAGCAACCAGGCCCGGTGAGAGCTGACCCCCCCTGCCCCAGCAGATGGAGCTCAGGCTGGGGGAGAAAGTCACAACGACACCCCTGGCACTCCCCGAGAAACAGAGTAAGAGACGGCAGCCAAGACGCACCTCACACACATAAACCCACACACCCACACACACACACACACACACACACACACACACACACCAAAACAACAAACTCCCCCAACAAACATACAGACACGCACGCAGAATCATACACAACTTGGCACAACCATAAGGAGTGTGAGAGAGTTGAAAGCCAAGGCACCTACAGACATCCCACAACACCTTAGATACGAAGATAACGTTCATACTTTCTGACTCACCATGCCTGTCAGCAGCTCGTACAGGACGGCGCCCAAACTCCACCAATCGCATGCCGAGGTCTCCTCACCGATTCCTCCCACCTCTGAAACCGGAGTAAAAAAAAAAAAAAAGGAGGGAAAACGCGGAATTAATCATTAAATCAACAAGCAGAGAAATAACTGATCAACTGATCATAGATGTAAAATAAAAGAATAACCTAATATTTATAAATAAAATCATTTACTCATCTTAAGCTGAGCTAAGTGCAAAAGAGACCGCTTTGGTAATTACATGAAAAAACCTTCAACAAACAGTTTGCGACTGACATCTTGGGTTACTTAATATTTCATTGAATTGATACAATCAATTCAAAATGAGCACAAAAACATGAACAGTCTCTCTCACGCACACACACACACACACACACACACACACAAACAAGTGTGTGTCTCATAAAAGGGTGATTTGCATAATAAAAAAGCAGTTAAATTGAGGAAACCGTCTGCTGCAACTTCACACCATCTGCATGACCTGACCTCAAACACACACACACACACACACACACACACGCACGCACCAAGAAATGTAAAGCAGGAACAACTGAGAAGTAGTATAACATTATTGTTTAGTATTTTCTCCCGCACCATTTTCAGCTCCTGAAAACATTTATTTTCATTAATCGATTGTTAGGTTTGTAAAATGTCAAGAAATAGTGGCAAATTAGGAAATCATCATTTAAAGTCATTTAATCAAATGTCTTGTCCGTTTAACAGTCGGAAAAAAAAAGAAAAGTAAAAAGAAGCCAAATCACAAGTGTGAGAAATAACTTAAAAGGATTAACCCCATTACCAAATCATTGCAGCCTCACAGATCCTAATGACAATCTGCCATTGAGTTTTTTGTCTCGACAACCAAAATTAGTTAAAGGCTCCCAATAATCACAGACATCATTGACCATCTCTACATACATGTCAGGACTACAAAACCCTCTCAAGATAAACATTTCATGGGAAATCTGTCCACTGTCGTGCTCATGGCCATGTTTTCTGAGATTCTGATCCAGAGTCAGTCGGCCAACCAGTTTGATGGAAGGCTGTTGAGACTCCACAGCATGTGTTGAAGAAGTATGACACAGAAACCAAGAGTGACACACGTGTTGCTAAAGTCAAAAGTATATGTGAGAGAGTCTGTGTGTGCGCTAGCTCCACTGGGTACCAGATGGCCTCTTGTGCCGCTCAGCTTCCCTCTGCTCCGCTCTCTCCAGAGGGCTGGGACCCCGGGTCACGGCTGCGTGTGCCCAGAGACAAGGCTCCTCAGCTGGGGCAGCAGAGGAGGACAAAGACCCCTCGTCTCACCGGAGGCTGCCAGCAACTCCAGGGGCCTGCGCGGCTCTCTTGCAGTAAAGGTTAGAGAGGGCTATGATACGACTTGCACGTTTCGTTTACACACATACATACACACTCAAACAAACACACACACACAGCCAACTGAGCAACCAGTCTTCAGGGCTCCCCAGGACTACTGTTTTGACAGCCGAGGAGAGAAGATCGTCATTGAACGGACTAGTGATACCTGCGTAGTTATGAGCTGGAGGGAAGATACTGGACACACACACACACACACACACACACACAAGCACACGTCTCAGAGCAAGGTCGATGTCATCACAATGGATTAATGTCTAAGGAGCTGCAGGGAGAGTACAGTGGAGCTGGCTACACTTACCGCTCTGTCAGAGCGAGGCAGGGAGAACGGGAGATAGAGAGAGAGGACGGGAGGGGAGAATTAACTGCATCCACGGGCCATGGGTCATTCAAACCCCACTGTTACACTGTGTGACGCCTTAATTTGACCATACCTCCCACAAAGCTTTCTTAAACAGCACATGAACCAAAAAATAATTGGAAGAAAACAAAATGATATGGAGGAGTTTGGATACAAACAATGCGGCGTTAACCTCGTGGCCTCTTCTTCTTCCCTTTCCCCTTAACAATGCAGTTCCCTCCTGCTTTGCATCTTAGTCACTCCATCTCCTCTCGGCTGGGGGGGGGCATAAGGAACTTTCTCTTCTCCTCTTAGTCTGACTTCCCTAAAAACTGAACAGACAGTCATTGTTGAAAGGGGAAGTAAAGCGTTTGCAGGTAGGAAGTAAGGAGACTTCGGTTTATAACGTTCCAAGACTGAGGCTCATATGAGGCTCTGTTAAAATGGTGACAATTGTTGTTAAAAACCAAATAAGTTATATATTCTAAAACAATCCTTTGACTCATCAAAGAATATCAGATAACATTCAAATAATAAAGCCGAAGTACGTTCGGGGTACAGTTTCTTACTTGAAAAGGTTTCCAAAACACAGAGGTGAGCACGTTGTGTGAAAAGGGGAACTAAACATTAACTTCCAGTAGATCACGCTGTCGCTGAGCAGCTAAAAGTCTGACTTGTCACCTCAGAGGGGAAGAATATTGAGTTTCCCTTTTCTTAGACACTGAAGAGAATTGGTTTAGGCCTTGCTTCCCTCTCAGCAGAACAATAAACTATTTCCTGTTTCTGCTCCAATCAGGTCGTGTCTCACTGTCACTCAATAGCTGTTGTATTATTGTTAGAGAACAAAAGATTAGCCATCTGATGTTTATCAATAACGATGACGATATGCTGAGAAAATAAATGAGCAGAAGTGCAGGATAAATAGATTCACAGATGTCACTGTATTTTCCGAGTCCACTCCCGTGTTTTTTGGGTGTGAATGTGTGCGTTGTAAAAACATGTTTCTCTCCGTCTTACACACACACACACACACACACACACACACGGTCACAGCAGGCCCCCTGCTAGCTTTCTGGCAAACAGTCATAAATCTGTCATCAGGAATGAAGCCATCGCCAGAGCTGACCCTGTCTGGATAAACAGCAATACATAACAAGGGCAGGGGAGACACACACTCACTAACCTCTGCGTTAGAGAGTGTGTGTGTGTGTGTGTTAACGAGCACATACTGTACATCAACAGATACATGCATCTACCAATCGTAAGGGGTTTGCAGGTATGAAATAAAAACATGTCAAATACATGAGAGCCATTAGTTAGTAATGTGTGCATACTAACATGTACAGCAACAAAGAAAGGTGGACAAAGACGAGAAAGAGAAAGTTGCCAGTGTTTGCGTAGTACATTCAACGTATGTTGAAGCCACACTATCGCTCAGCAACAGCGTCACGCACCCCCTGTTGGCTGCTTGAACACATTACAGCCATTGATTCATGCGGGATCAACAGTCTTTAACTAACAAGATCTTTCACACCTGGGCTGATCAGCACTATTCCACTTCATTTCACTACGGCGCTGGCTTTTATCCACAACATTGAACATTTTTTCATATTTTTTTTTATTATTTGTGTGAGTGAGCCGAATGTGAATGCCGCCCAAATGTGATGCAAAGGGCACCATTCCGATTGCCTCCTTCAGCTCCTCTTGTCCAACATTAGATCTACTTGTATTTGTGTACATCTGAATTCTACAGTGCCGAAAAAGACTAGCCGATTAACTTACGGACGTATTCAATGACTATTGTGAAAGTGAATTAATCGGATCGTCAAGTAAAGAAACCAAAGGTTGCCGACAGCCTCTCAAGTCTGAAAAAAAAAAAAAAAAAAATTTAAAATAAATACCTTCCAGTTTTGACTGCTGAGAACAGCACTTTTAAAAAGTAATCAATACATTATTTGCCTTTACTGGATTGATCCAGAACGGGCGTATGAGTGCTGTTATAAATTATCTGTGAGTCAAGTGTACATTTAGTCAAAATCTACCTTTTACTTTTTTTTTTAAATTTCAATCATTTTATTTTGTTAAATAAACAACATTGTTCAGACCTACCATCCCCTCTATTAGACAAGTATAAAAAGCCGTCGATGCCGATTTTAACAAGAACAATTACTACATCAATTACACAATGACTTCAGAGTCAAACATGTCTCGAATTGGCACTTAGGTTTTAAGCTCCATTGTGCACGTAAAGCTCCTTGTGCCGAGGTTTTCTCCTGTGTGTCTTTAGGTCACCTACCGCTGGCCACCGTACATATGCCTCTACGTGCTTCTATTTCCATTAGTGGGCTTTTAAACAAGCAGTTTCTAAAGGGAATAAAAAATGCACACTTTGAATATTAGATAAAGCATTTGTTGCTTTCAGATTTATTACGACAGTGGCACACTGTATGTTCCTAGTCACAAGGAGGATTTAAATCTGAAGTGACCTTCCTGGCTTGAGCGAGAGGATGAGTGTGAGAGAATAGCTTAATATAAGTGCGTGGGGGGGGGGGGGGGGTGAAGGGGTGCGAGGGTCGTTGTGTACGCCTCTAAATGCATCCAGAGTTTTTCAGCAGTTATCCGTCCTGCGTATTTAAGAAAAGGTGTAATCAAACACAATCCATCCAGCATCCCAAGTGTGAAGCCTGATGCTTAAAACAGCAACATATTAAAAGAAGTATCCTGCCCATAGATGACCCCCCCCCCCCCACACACACACACACACACACACACACACACACAGAAGTGCTAAGTAGGGACATGGTGCTGTAGTCTAGCAGCGGTTTGTTTCAGGCAGCTTGTAAACAGCATGCCGGAGCTGCCACGAGCCTGCTGAGGGCGACACATGGAGTTACCTCGCTGCTGTCTCAGTGTTGCACAACAGCACACTCTACAGGACAAGGAGAGAACTACAACCAGAGCCAGCCTCTCCAAACTGTGAGTAAATACTAAATATTTCTATTTTATCCTCCGGATACAAACAGATATGTGTTATTAAAATGTAAATAATGTCATCATGATAACTGCATGAATCCTTAAGATGTGGTTTCTTTAATGGGTAAAAAAAAAAGCAAATGCACAGAATGGAAAGAGCACCTTTGCATATGGATTTCTGTCTATTTCAAAGTGGAGAAGAATCAGTGTTCACCTGTTTCTACTCTCTAGAGCGGTGTGTGTGTGTGTGTGTGTGTGTGTGTGTACACGTGGATTGTTTATTCATGTCTGGCTATGAATGAGGGGTTTGTGACCATGGGAAAGTGGCCTACTTATGGCCCTGCATGCCTGCATAGAATTAACCCCACATAAAGCTCCTTACTGACACGCAAACACACAAAATGAGGCTCCCAATTATTAACAAGTTTAGAAGGAGCACCAAAGAGAAATCAGAGCGATAAAGTGTATGAGCATACGTCTCACCTGGTGCACAGTACATATTGGCAATGGCCTCTTTGTCGCAGGACTCCTCCACATCGTTCCAGCTACAGAAGTAGGTGAGCTGAATGTGACCTAAGGAGACAGGAAGAGAGGGAAAGCGTTCGGCTCAAAGAGTAAGAAACATTCATCTGGCGCTCTGCCTCAAGCCGACACAGTCAAGTATCACTCCGACTCGATACTTTTCAACCTGTTTACTCACCTTCAGAGCACTTCCTTCCACCGGTTCCTTTCTGCCTCTCTACATCCCTCAGCGAGCTTTTCAAGCACACGGCCCCGGCGATTACTCCTGTTTAGCGGCTACCCGTTAACGCTATCATTAGAACTAATGGTGTCATTAGGTAGCCGTGGCCATTAGCCTGGGCTAGCCAGACTGATGCACCACACTACGCCGTTGATGGGCCCTTTAGAACAATAATTACCACCAGGGAGACGAAAACAGCCACTCAGCTAATTAGACGCTTGTTGATAACGAGGCGGAGAGAGATGATTGTAGGACGACAAAGGAAGAAGTTGAGGGGGAATCTGTGACCTCCTGGTAGGGAAAAAAAACACTTTCCCCTTTCTGGAAAAGCCTTAATTTTAGTAAATACATTACATCATGGCTGACTTCAGAGAGATGTGGTTATATGCTCGCTTAAAGAGAAATATGAGCAGATTTCACCAAGATGTCTAAGATGTTCATGAGGTCCTTATTGAACTATGTCTGAAATATATTTTTCTAAACTTTGTGCAACTAAACTGTACTGCTTTGCTTCCCTAATATTATAGCTCGTAAGCAGTCGTGGCATTATTGTTTAGTGCAGCTAATATTCTAGAAAGAACGTATTCTACATTGTATTTTTTAAATTTTCAGGACTTTCCCCCCCTCTATTCTTTATGGCATATACTGAAGATTTCAGAGATCTATGAGATAGGGGACTAGATTGTGGGATGTTACCGAACAAAGGCTTTACGATAAGCCGCGGTAATAACGGATGTCTAACCTTGGTGGTCGAGCAGGATGTTTTTGGGGTTGAGGTCTCGACAAAGGATGCCGTGTTGGTGCAGAAGGTCCAGGGCTGACACCATCTCGACGGCCCAGCATCGCACAAACTCCTCCGGGATACGAGCTTGGGACGCAGCCAACGACAGCTCGTCCAGCTCGGCGAACAGCCGCGATACTTCTTTATCAAATTCACAGCCACCTGTATCACTAATAACTCTTGATGATTCGCCATCAAGACCGAATAAACTCTGGACCACTGCGCGAGCCTCGGTGCCATTCGCGGCTGGGATAGAGTCTGTGCTTTTGCCGCTGTGGTGAGGAACCAAGTCTGTATTTACTCTTGTACCGGCCTCGAGTTTCCCGTTTAGAATGTCAGTAACTGGAAGGTCAAGGTAATTATTTTGGCATGTAGGGTGAACAACCATTTTGTCAGAGGCCTCTGACCCAAACGCCGAGCTGCAGTCATCCCACAACGAGTTGAAGGGAGAGGAAGACGCAGCACTAGTGTCACAAGTCGCAGAGGCTGTACATAGAGATGAAGGCTCCTGCTCCAGTGGCTGCTCCTCCCCTTCCTCCGGCTGGCTGTGAAGCTGTAAAACATCAGGCTGGATGAACTTCTGCGGCGAGGCTGTGGCCTCGAGGCCGAGACACACCCCCGAGGTGTCCAATTCCTCCTGTAAAGAGTCGACAGTCCCGCCCGTTACAGGCAGGTTGACCAAAAGGTCTGGCGGGTGACCCTCATCCTCCACTACTGCCTCTTTGAACGAGATGACTGGCACGGACTCGTTGGAGCCTTTATCACTACAGTCCAACCCCCAGAGCTCTGAGCTGTGGCCCTTGACCTCCTGAGCCAGCTCTGGAAGATCCTCAGTGACATCCGAGCCCAGGTCGGATGTGGAAAAGAGGGAGACCGGCTTCTGAGAAGGCCGCTGCTCTCCCGAGTCAAGACAGGTCACCTCGCAGGCACTGTCTTTGCTGTCGATACGGAAAAACTCCATTGGCGTGTGCTTGGACAGAGGCACAGCAGGGGATGGCAAAGGACTGAACACCTCGCCGTGGTCCTGTCCCTCGCAGCGGTATTGCTCACTGCCGCTTTTGTCGGACGACTCTGTGAAGAAGCCGAGTTCCTGAGAGCTGATCGGTGACGAGAGGCTGTCGTTGCTCAGCAGTGACCGGCTACGCGAGGACGTGGTGGTCGTCGTGGCGGGCACTTCCAGCGACAGCATTTCCTGTTCGCTCTTCTCTCCCTCCTCCTCTAGTGCATCTGGTTCGACCTTGTCTTGTTCATACTCGTTGCAAAGTGTCAAATAACTGTTGGTGCACTCCTCCTCAGAGGTGGCTCCGGAGTCCGACTGGGCCCCAAGTTGTTCAATGCGCCTGGGAGGGAGAACCCTTTTCCTAGGAGACGCGATCGGCTTCTCCCCTTTGTTCTGGAGCTCCGATACAGAAGCGGGACAAGACACCGGCCCAGAACCAGAACTGGCGGAATCTACATCGAGCTGTGGTGCAGCGTGTTGTGGAGAGTGTACAGCCGCCGTGTGGCTCTTCTGGATGAAAGGAATGTCAAAGCTGTCCTCTGGGCTGGAAGTACGCAGGAACTTTCCAATGTGAGACCACAGCTTCCCCCCTAGGGATGAAGGAAACAGGGCATTAAAGACAATTACAAAAAGAAGGGTGTATCCAATACAGTAGACAGCAGAGCTATTAAGAGGACAAATGAAGCACACCACGCTACTGGAACTTCTCCAGGAATGTTCTTCGGAACTCAGCAACCACCTGTGTTTCAATGGGAGGAACCGTGGTCTAAATTTAGTTCCTTCCCATCGTCCAAAAAGGACCAAAAGTTGCCGACTGGTCAAACACAAGCCTGCTACAATTTCTGTTCACCATTCACTCATACAGTAAGCAAGCACAGAGTGCCAGTAGTATCAGCATACGGATAGAGATGCTTTGTTGATAATTAAACAAAGTCAAAAAGTTTTGCAGTTATGTAGACTCCGTAACCACTTTCAAAGTTGTTTCAATGGAGTTACTTCTTATAGCTGAAACGGGGTAAAATGAACTGTATATGACGCCTGTGGCAAGAAGGACCTGCGGGGCCCTGGGGGGGGGTCCCTGTCTAGATGCCCATTTTGCCCATTTGGTAATTCAGCCGAAGAAACCATCACTATTTCAGGGGCATGCATCTCACTTTGCTATACATGATGACATTGCATCTTTAAAAATCGTTTTCCGCCATCTATCGCTAATTTACCTAAAATTCACAGTTGGTCAGATGCTGTGGATGAAAAGGAAAGTGCAAAAGAGACTTTCAGTTCCTGACTTTGGCCTCTGGGTGTCCTTAGACACTGGGGGAAATTAGGTAAGAAGGCTCATTGCACTTAGGAAAGAGTAACCAAGGCAAACAAGAGCAGTGATTGATTGATGATTGAACCCAATTTAGCTAAATGGGGTTGCTGTGTGTGTGTTTGATTTAGGTTCCCAGTGTTATGTTAGCGTTTTCACTTCTCTCTGTCTTACACACACACACACACACACACACACACACACACACACACACACACA